ATTCTTTTCTGCAACTCATGGAACTTTCTCTAAAATAGATCCTACTTTAGAACACAAAGCAAATCTCAACAAACTCAAGAAAATTGAAATAACCCCGTGTATCATATCAGATCACAACAGAATAAAACTAGATCTTAACACCAAAAGAAACCACAGAAAATATCCTAACACATGGAGACTGAACACTGCTGAATGACCAGTGGGTGACAGAAGAAATAAATGAAGAAATCAAAAAGTTCTTAGAGTCTAATGAAAAAGACAATACAACCTACCAGAATCTGTAGGGCACAGCAAAGGCCACGCTAGGGGGAAAGTTTATAGCTATAAACATCCACATTAGAGAAACAGAAACTTCTCAAATAAACAATCTAATGATGTACACCTTAAGCTCCTAGAAAAATTAGAACAAACCAAACCCAAAATCAGTAGATGGAGAGAAATAATAAATGCCAATGAAATTGAAACTAAAGAAACTATACAAAGAATCAATGAAACAAAAAGTTGGTTCTTTGAGAAGACTAACAAGATCAACAAACCCTTAGCCAACATGACAAAACAGAAGGGGGAAAAGACTCGAATTAATAAAATCAGAGATGAAAAAGGGGTCATAACCACAAATAATAATGAAATCTGGAGGATCATTGGAGAGTACTTTGAAAATTATATTTAAGTAACTGGAAAACCTAGATGAAATGGAAAATTTCTAGATGCATATAATCAACCAAAATTGGACCAAGAATATATTAACCACCTAAACAGATCTATCACAAGCAATGAAATTGAAATAGTAATAAGAAGCCTTCCTACAGAGAAGAGCACTGGACCTGATGGATTCACAGCTGAATTTTACCAAGTCATTAAAGAAGAACTAATACCAATACTCCTCAACTTTTTTCAGGAAATAGAAAAGGAATGAACACTACTAAATCATCCTATGATTCTATGAAGTCAACATTAAACTCATTGCAAACTCCAGTAAAGATACAACTAAAACAGAGAATTATAGACCAATATCTTCAATGAATATAGATGCAAAGATTCTCAGCAAAATACTGGTAAACAGAATTCAACAACAAATTAAAAAGATCATACACCATGACCAAGTTGGTTTCATTCCAGGGATGCAAGGATGGTTCAACATATATAAGTCTATAAATGCATTACAGCATAGAAACAGAAACAAGGACAAAAACTACATGGTTCTTTCAATAGATGCAGCAAATGACTTTGACAAAATTCAACACCTTTCATGATGAAAACTCTGAATAAACTGGGAATAGAAGGAATATGTTCCTCAACATAATAAAGGTTATATACAACAAACCTACAGCCAAAATTATATTAAGTGGAGAAGAACTGAAACCCTTCCCACTATAGCCAGGAACAATAAAACAGAGCAAGAAATAAAAGGGATTCAAATAAGGAAGGAAGAAGTCAAACCATCCCTAGTTGCAGGTGACATGGTCCTATACCTAAAAGACCCTAGAAATCAGTAGCCTTCCAACAATGAACAGACTGAGAAAGAAACCAGGGAAAACATCTCATTTACAATAGCCTCAAAAATAATAAAGTACATTGGAATAAATTTAATGAAGTAAACAAAAGTCCTTTTCAATGGAAACTATAAACTACTAAAGAGAGAAATCAAAGAAGACATCAGAAGATGGAAAGACTCCAATGCTCATGGATTGGTAGAATCATCATTGTGAAAATGGCCATACTACCAAAAGCAATCTACATGTTCAATGCAATCCCTATCAAAATAACAATGACATTCTGCACAGAAATAGAAAAAAAAATCCTAAAATACATATGGAAACATAAAAGACCTCAAATAGCCAAAGCATTTCTGAGCAAAAAGTCCAATGTTGGAGGTATCACAATACCCTTCTTCAAACTATACTACAGAGCCATAACAACAAAAACAGCATGGTATTGGCACAAAAACAGACAGGAATGCCAATGGATCAGAATAGAAGATCCAGATATATATCCACACATCTACAGCCAACTGATCCTCAATAAAGGAGCCCAAAACGTATGACGGAGAAAAGCCAGCACAGCCTCTTCAACAAATTTTACTGCGAAAACTGGATATCCACATGCAGAAGACTGAAACTAGATTCTTGTCTTTCACCCTGTACCAAGTACCAAAGGCAACTCAAAGTGGATCAGAGACTTTAATAGAAAGCTTGAAACTTTGCAACAACTCTAGGAAGTAGTAGGAAATTCACTGGAACATATAGATATAGGAAGTGACTTCCTAAGTAGAACTCAAAAGGCTCAGCATCTATAAGAATGAATGAACAAATGGGACTACATCAAACTAAAAAGCTTCTGCACAGCAAAAGAAACAGTCAGTAGACTCAAGAGACTCCCACAGAATGGGAGAAAATCTTTGCCAACTATTCATCTGATAGGGGACTAATATCCAGAATCTATAGAGAACTCAAAAAACTCAACCTTCAAAGAATCAACATCCAATGAAGAAATGGGTACATGAATTAAGCAGGGAATTCCCAAAGGAAAAGGTACTAAATACATGAAGAAGTGCTCAATTTCCCTGGTTATAAAAGAGATGCAAATCAAAACTACACTTAGATTTCATCTCACCCCAGTGAGCATAACCATAATTAAGGGCAAGAACAACAAATGCTGGCAAGGATGCAGTGAAACAGGAACCCTTATACACTGCTAGTGGGAATGCAAATTAGAACCACTATGGAAAGCAGTAAGGAGATTCCTTAAAAAGATAAAGACAGCACTGCCATATGATCCAGTGATACTGCTCCTGGGCATCCACTCACAGGAACATAAGTCAGGATACAATAGAGACACCTGTACACCGATGTTCATCACAACACTATTCACAATAGCCAAGCTCTGGAAACAATCCAGATGTACTACAACTAATGGATGGATCAAGAAAATGTGATACATATACACAATGGAATTTTACTCAACAATAAGAAATGTGGTTTGAAGGTAAATGGATGCAATTGGAGGACATCATGTTAAGTGAAGTAAGACAGGCTCAGAAAGACAAAGGCCACACATTTTCTCTCATTTGTGGGAGATAGATCCAAAGATAAGTGTATAAACAAAAACAACTATGTTCATATACCAACTCCTATGTAGAAATGTTGTAATAGTGGAACTAGTCTATGGAAATTTGGGAAAGAGGTAAAGGAAGAGAGAATGATAGAGCATCAGTAATACCATAAAACATGGTTTGTGTGAAGGTACAGGATATAATGATGTGTATTGAAAGCTGTTGAAAAATGGGGGTGGGTGGGTGGGAGGTAAAGGGACAAGGGATAGTAATAGAAGGTGTTGAATGTACCAAAGCAAAGTATACTCACAGTGGGGATACATAGAGAAATCCCTTTGAACATTGACTTTATTATTAACCATGAAAGACAGGACCATAAAATAGGTACAGTGTGTGTGTGTGTGTGTGTGTGTGTGTGTGTGTGTGTGTGTGTGTGTGTGTGTGTGTGTGTGGTACTTGTGAGAGGGTAAATGGAGGAGATTAAGGCGACGGTATATAGTTGATGGACTTCCTATACTTACATGAAATAGAACAAAGAAACCCTTGAAATTGCTTTAAGTGGGGCAGGGAGGGAGTTGAGGGGGAGAGACGATGGGGGTGATCTAACCAATGTACAACGTAAGCCTAATCAGAATTTCCAAAAAAGTTTTTCCTATTTTATGTCAGTCTTTTCTGCTCCAAATTTACCTTTTTAATGGTTTCTTGCTTCTTGCTCATATTTTTAAGATCATTTATTTCTTTGAGCATATTATACACACTTATTTTGTGTTCTATTTCTGAAATTCCTATGATTGCAGTTTTAATGGGCTTGTTCTCGTGGTTCAGGTTTCTGGTGACTCTTGCTTATGGTGCATTTTTTGCGAGGTTTTTTTGTTGTTTCTTTTTTTGTGATAGTCTTGCTATGTAACCCAGGCTTGTCTGGAACTCGTGATCCTCCTGCCTCAGCTTTTTAAGTGCTGGGATTATAGCACTATGCCCAACTTTCTCTGTGAGAGTTTTTGACTTTATGTGGGAAGTCTTTGGAGGTGACTGAGGTCAGGATATTTTACCACTGTCCTCTCTTAAAAAGCCCCTCTTCTTTGTCTCCAGCTGTCAAATTCAATCTGGTATTATAGCAGAGAGGAGGACCAGAAGAAAAACAGACTAAGCCAGAGTCTTGATAAAGCAGCAGAAAGGCATAACAGAGATAAAACCTGAGGACTTTGAGCATGAAGGTTACATAACACTGGAAAGAAAGAATTCACATAACATTAGGGTAAAGTAGCCGATAGGATTGAATATAACCATATGTGGATTAGGCCTTGCTTTTTGCTTCTGTAACCTGCTTGCAAGGGTATATAAGGTGAGACCTCTTTGTTCTCAGGGCTCAGCCTTTGGACATGAGTCCACAGAGTCTGTGCTGGCACAATAAACGTTGCTTCCTGCTAATCTGCCTCAGTGTCTCATATCTTGACTTACAGCTTCCTGCAACTGTATCACTGTGTTTTTTCCTTGTTTTCAGGGGTAGCAATGGCTTCTATTGATAGACACTGGGTTTTAAATATTCCTTGTTAGTTTACTCAGCCTTACTTTGTGTGTAGTCTTTGAAACTCTTCAAATCCCACAAAAGAGCATGATACCTGCTTCCTGCTGGGACTCTGAGTGACATAATCTGTGTAAAAAGCACTTAATAAGTTCCAGTTAATGTTGTTATTGAGAATACTTTATAAAGTGTTGGGAAAATTTCTGGTAAGCTCAGGCAAAAATAATTATAAGGCTGGGAGACATGTACTTCAAAAAAAGGGGTACACTCAAAGAGTGGAACAAGGAAAGGTTTCAGACTCTACCTCCATAACCCTCTCTGCCTTTATCAGGAAGCCATGGGCTCTGTCCTCATAATCCATCATCCTACACCCCCTTCCAAGTTCCTTATTACCACTACTTTTCTCCCTCTCCTTCCCTCCTTTACCTTGGAGGGCCACAAAGTGAGGGAGGTGCACAGCAGCCACAGCTCCCTGCTCAGCCTTGATGTCAAACAGAGGCCCTGCCACCATCCAGCTGTGCTGCATGACAGTCCTGCCCAGGAAGGGGTCCCAGGTACAAAATTCAATCTCGATGGTCACTGCCCTTCTCACCACAAAGCCAAGACCCGTATTGGGACAGTGGTAGGAGCCGGCCACAGGGAAGTGAACTCTGGAAAGAAGAAGGAGAGGCAGACACCAAATCACACAAACTCACTGAGCACAGGCTTGATGTCAGACCCAGTGAGGGGCTGTGGGTACAGTGGATTCAGTGGAGTGGCCACACTGAATTCTAGTCAGAGGCCTTGGGTTTGAGTCCTAGCTCCTCTGCTCTCTGTGGTTCCTGAGCAAATCATTTAAATCCCATAATCTCAGTTTTCTCATATGTAAATAGGAGTAATAATCATACCCATCCCATAAAGTGGTCAGTATGAGTAATATAATGCAAACCATCAGCTGAATAATGGGCCTGGGACCACTTGGCTATTCCTATTATGATGACAATGGAGCCAAAATAAGAAAGTGTTCATATTTTTAAAGAGTATTTGCCAATAATTAGTAAGAGTCTACATGCTACTGTTAATGATGAGTCCTCCTAGCTGAACACAATGCTTTGCAGGAACCATAAGGGATTTTTTCAAGGCTTCCCTTTGCTGAGTAGTGGGGTGGCCAGTGCCAGTGTCTGTAGTGGAAGATGGGAGTGCCACAATCTCCCAGTTGAGATTGTGTCTGGGACAGAGTTTGATGAGTGGTAACCTGTTACTTTGGGGCCTGTGATTGTGATTATAGTCATTTGTTACTTATGAGACTAGAAGCCCTTGGAGGACAGAAGAGCCATATTCACCTTTGGGTTCCCAGTTACTAGTAGGGTGCTTTGCACAAAGAAGTTATTAACAAAGTAGGAGTATATAGTCTACAAAGATTAAATGAGACTTAAGAGACACAACAAACCAAATATAATGAGCAGACCTCATTGGATCCTGAGTAGAACAAGTCAATGGCAAGAACACATTTCAGACAATTGAGCAAATGTGAATACAGACTGGGTTTAGATGATATGAAAGGCCTAATGCCAGCTTTGTTGGATGTGAAATGCCATGCTGGTTATGGAGCAAAGGATCTTTATTTTCATTTTGAGATTCAGAATAAAATATTTAAGAATAAAAATCATTCAGTGTCTCGAGCTAAAAATACTGTAACAATAATGACAGAGGAACAGAGTACTTGAAATGAAATTGGAAAAACAGTCTCTGATGCTGAGTTATGGAACAAGGAGGTTTCATGTACTCTATAATTTTCTTTATGTTGAAAAATTTCATAATAAAACCTCTTTTTCCATAATAAAAGTATACCCCCAGTCTCTCAGTCCTGTCCCTGCCTGCTGGCTTAACAAGGGGAGGGGAACCAGTAGAGAGTGAGTAGGCTGATGACAGTCTGTGGGGTCCCAGTGTGGGTAGTAGGTTAGAGGAGGCCAGCCTGGCAGAGCCCCTCACTTACCGGCATAGGCTCCTGTCTTTGTCAACTGTCTCAGTAGCCACAGGGCCGGTGGGGCCCCAGAAGTCATCTTCAGTTCCCAAAGGCTCCATGTGCAAGTTGCTCAGACAGGCAGGAGAAGACAGGTGGAGGGATTCCACTTGTGATGTTTGTGGGGCATCTCCCTCTGGAAGAAGCGGGTAGTGGGCGGCTCTGTGTTGTCCAGCCTGGTCTTCCCTCCACCCACTTTGGTCCCACGACTGGGTTCTTTCCTAGATTGCCCTGTCTTGGTGTGTCAAGACTGTTTCTAAAGCCTTTGTTCCTGCTTCTCAGACACCTGCCTGCTTTATAAGACCTCCCACCCCCACTGTCCCATACTCCAGCTTTTGCTCACCTCCCCTTCACTCTGGTCTAGAGATGTCATCCTTCTCAGCATGTCCCTAGTGGGCAAGTGGAGAGAAGAACCTGATTCAAAAGATGGACATTCAGGGATGGAGAGGAGATTTCCAGGGCTCAGGAACTCAGAATTTAGAAGGTGAAACCCCTCTAGTTCCAGAAGAGGATCTCCCTTTGGGTGGGGCCCTTCCAGGTGGTGAATCTGCCTTGTCCCACATAGGAGGTTGGGAGCTGGAGGGGATCCCTCTCAAAGCTGCTCCTCTCAGTCCTCTTTGAATACCTGACTGTGTTCTCTTCTTCTGGAGAGAAGTCCTGCCACCATCCATCTCTTCTCCATCAGGGACCTCAGTAGGGCTCATTTCACTTGACTTCCTACACACAGAGATGTTCATTTTCACTCAGATGTCGGGGGAAGCTAGGGTTGTCCACATGACAACTTCACTTAAAATTCAACTCATCTGGATTTGAAGTTAGCCCTGTGACCTCCTGCAGATCCTGTCTTTGTGAATGGCCCTTTATTACCCCATGTGTACACACCAGAACGGGAGCATATCCTGACTCCTTCTGGGCTGCTGTGGTTTGAATGTGCCCCTGAAGTTCTTGCATTGGAAAATCAGCCCCCGGTGTAACAGTGGGGAGGTAGGAGCTTTAAGATGTGAGAAGTGTGGACTCTGTCCTCATGAACAGATTAATATCTTTATTACAGTAGTGGATTCATTTTGGCCTGAGAGGCTTTAGAATAAAGTGAATTTGGCCTCTCTTGCTTTCGCCCTTCTACCTTGCACCATAGGATGCATAGCAAGAGAGACCTCTCTAAATACAGATCTTTTGACCTTGGACTTCCCCTCTCCATAGCTGTAAGAAATAATTTCTGTTCTTTTTAAATCACCCAGTCTCAGGTGTTCTGAGATAGTAGCACGAAATGAACAAAGACATTTCCCATCTTGTCAGCTGGTCATCCTGACAATTACCTCCCGAATAGCTGGCCTTTCTATCCTCTACTCTCTATCTCCACAGCCTCCATTTCAGTCCCAGGGCCTGGCAACTGTGGCCCAAGCCACTGCAGTATCCTCCAAATGGTTTCCTACTTTTGTTGTGGTCCTTCTTCAACCTGTTCTCTACACAGAAACTCATTTTGTGATATGAATACAACCCATTATTACACTGCTGAAATCCTGTGAAGCCTCTCTATTAATTCTGGAGAGAAGAGAAAGTCTTAAAATGGTACAAAATGGACCTGTGTCCCTTCAATCCCTCCTTATTCCATTTTGTCCCTGCTCATTGATCTCTAGACCAGTGGTTCTCAAACTCAGCTTCAATATCACTTGGATGATTATTACAACAAAGATTGAACTGAAGGAAACTGGCCTACTTAAGAGTGTGGCTTGAGAAAGTACAATTCTATGGACTCCTTGTGCTGGGGAGGCAGATGCTCCTAGTTCATGGACCCCACCTTGAGAAGTGGGCTGCACATGGTATAGGAGTTAGGAAGCCTGATGGCAAAAGATGGTAACTTGGATGTTGATAAAAAGTCACATTCTGGCCTGTTGACATAAAGGAATGGCTCAACGAAGTTCTGTTGACGTGAAGTCCCTGTAGTACACACACACACACACACACACACACACACACACACACACACACACAAAATGGAGAAACCCTGGTCTTACCATTCAAGGCCAAGAAGTCCCCCTCCCCCACATGTGGGCAGAATTGATATTGCATAACCTAGTCTGCAGTGGTTGATGCCACATGAACTCAGTTTTCCAGGACTTGCCACCCATATTTCCACAGATGCCAATAAAAGCTTGAGGGTTTGAGACTTCCAGCACAGCACTCACTCCTTCTTGAGCCCAACCACTCTTCCATTTAAGAGTGCACCTTTGATTTGCTCTTCACTTTGCATCAATAATCCTGACCCTGCTTAAATTTTCTTGGTGCCCATCCTTGAATTCTTTCTTTGATGAAGACCAAGACCTTTCTGGCCTCTGGGCCTAGTGATCTGAATCCTGCAACACATTTTGGTGAATCAAGCCAGGAAGGTCATGGAGTTCCTTATGCAAGAGTAGGTGTCTTTATTCTCCTTCAATCCTGGTAAGCCAGTCTCTCTATTCCTGTTCAGCTTGCTGTTATTTCTTTTTCTCAGTTAGTTTGCTTTCATACCTATTTTACTACCTTGTTTCCATGGGGAAGAATTATGTGGTTATCTTTGATGCACTGCAATCAGACATTACTCTTGCAGGGGCAATGCCTGATTTGCTCTGTACATTTGAACGCTTTGTTCCAACCATTTTACTTACTGTTAGAGGATCCAGGGAACAGTGACTTCCTTTCATGGGCTTGTCTCATACTTCACTGATCTCTTGTTATTATAAACCCAATTTTGTTGGACAGTCAATCCCAGTCATCAGAAGAAAGTTCCAAAAAGTTAGGACTGAATCCCTAAACATCTCAGACTCAGATCAAACTGTGGAGGAAGGACCTGGACCAAGATATGGAAGACCAGAGGCTGAATAAGAGGCAAGCCAAGTTTTTGGCCACCCTCTGAGAAGCCACAAGGCTTCCAAGTAATTTAGGAGGTATTCCCCCAAGTAATGGTGTTTGCTGTAGCTTAAAATAGTCTGGGCCTTAGAGAAAAGAATGCTATTGAGGACAATAGCCATTAAAGACAAACAAAGGGGCCAGGTCCTGGTTGCTCACACCTGTAATCTTAGCTACTCAGGAGGAGAGATCTGGAGGATCATGGTTTGAAGCCAGCCTGGGGAAACAGTTTGTGAGACCCTATCTCCAAAATACCCATCACATAAAAGGGCTAGAGGAGTCACTCAAGGTGTAGACTCTGAGTTCAAACCCCAGTACCAGAAAAAAAAAAAAAAAAAGGACAAGCAAAGGGTTCTGGAAACAGAATTGCCCTCAGCTCTTGAAGGGCTGGCAAAGTCTCTCTGCAGGCCTCTCCAGGACCATCTACATCTGAGGTTAATAACTGGATATTCTAGTAAGCCTACTTGGTTCTTTATCAGTATGGGGGGACTGCCTTTTCATTCTTCACTCTTTCATCCTGGATCTTTATCTTGCAAAACCTACACTATTATGGGGATTGAGGAAAGGTTTCAGAGTGGAGGCTCACCTCTCCTTTATTATGTGTCTGGGAAAATCAAATAATTGTATTCTAAACTGCAGTTACAGAGTTAACATGTAAAGATTTGGGTTATATATATATATATATATTTTTTTTTTTTCTCTTCCTTTGGCCTTCTTTACCTTGCATTAAGATTAGTATTGCTGGTCAAGGCTATTTGATAGTTTTGTTATCTTAGCCAGATCTTGCTGGAATGAAATATTCTGTATGTCTTAGACTCATTTAAGACAAAAAGTGTTTAAAAGTATCTTTAAAGATCACGTGATAATAAAGTCTGTGTAATAGCTGCAGCTATGTGTACTCAGGTGATCTTTATTTGTTTCATTCTGTCATGAATATGGTTTGGGTTAAAAAAAATAAAACAGAACCAACAAATAAGAGATAAGATGTAAAGGAAAACATTTTAAATAAGAAAGGATTTTGTAAAATAAGGTTGGTCTTGAAGCAAAGGATTGTTCCAAAATGAAAGCAGGTGGATAGGATCAAAACCAGAAGGCTCAAAGAAGGATTATGTTATGGTTTATGCTGGGATGCAATTAATGGGATATGGTAGGTCATGAGGAGGCATAAGAAAGTTATAAATAAGTGGATGTTTTCTGGATGAAAATAAGGTTTGTCTTAAAGGAAAGACTTGTTCCAAAATGGAAATAGGTAAACACAAAACCGCAAAACCAGGTAAACGCATGTTGCAGAAGGAATATGGTAGAGTTTTGATGAGATATAATTGGTAAAATCTCCAGTGCTGTCTTGATACATTTTTGAAAGATTCTAAAGCCAGAGAAGGACTGCACCAAGGAAAAGAAAGATTAAATGAGGCACATGTCACATGTGAGGCACCAGAAGCAGAGGATCTTGTGGGATGGTAGTCCCTCCAAAGACTTCCATAAATTAGGGAAATGGACAGGAACCACTTTTAATAAAAATATAAGAAACCTACTATTCTATTTTAAAATTAAAATTTCTGGGGAAATTCCTTAAAATTCCTTAAAATTGACCCTTAAAGGGATTGTTCAATAATTTATAAATCAAGCATTTATTCAGTCCTCACCACTATAAGATACTTGGCTACCACACATTTAAGAGAAGAAAAAATAAGGAGTAGACTTTCCCATCTCCTTTCCATTATTGGAAAAGCATATGAGATGCCAATTCTGCACCCAAAAATAAGCTTCCTAAATTAACTCTTAATGTTTACCTATTGGAAGTTGTGGTGACCCAAGGTTACTTATTATTAAAAGTCAATGTAAAATTAAAGAAAAGAAACACCCTCTTGAGATTATTCTTAGGGATTTCTGTTTTGATATCCAAAAAGTCCACTTGTCTTAAATTAAAATCCTGTTCCCTCATAATCCTGACTTTGTCTCAACTTGTCTAGTAGCTAGACTCTTAGCCAGGGAGAAGTTCAGGTAGTCCCAGAAATAGATACGAGCCACAATTCTGGGAGAGAGGAACATTCCCTCCAGATTGTAGTGAGGTATTGACTGCTCTCAGAAGCTGCAGAGGCATTTCTCTTCTAGGAGACAGTGGTTGGGAAACTCTTGGGTTAAGAGGAGTTCCACGTGGATCTCCTAGCTATCAGGGACTTCCAGTAAATTAGAGCAGCTGTGCTCACTTCTTTCCTTTCGTTCCTTCTTTCTTTTTTTCTCCAAACACAGTGACACTAAATGAGATGGGTAACATCATTGATATTCCTGATGATTCTCTCTTAATATGTATATTAAAAAATTTTGGATAAAAAAGTTAATCTACTATAATACTGAGAGTTTGCTTGGAGGTTCCAGCAGGGGAGTGCAGCTACTTGTATACTCTTGACCGAAGAATAGTCCTCCTCTATTGGGAATGGTCATCCTCCTTGACTGAGAACACAGCTTCAGGAGGGACACACATGGAGTGGTGAGGGAGGAAGGGGATACCTGCCTAGCCAGCCAGATCAGCCCAGTCCACCCTGGCGGTCAATGGGGTGACAGACATCACAGCCAGATCACCCTCATGTCCTCTAGTATAGTAGTCTATGGGTCTAACATAAATTTTAAACATGGAGAGGCTTGGACTATACTCAGAAGCCTGAGATTTAATACTATTCTTCAGTTAGGCCTGTTTTATAAAAGGCTAGAAAAATGACCTAAAATTTCATATGTGCAACTTTTTATGGCATTATATCAGAACACTAAGTAGCAAATCTGATTAAAATGAGGAGGGAAAAGACCCAAATAATAAAATTATAAACGAAAAG